CGCTCTTTCTTGTGTGCCAGGCTACTAAGAATATGGAGGGATCCAAGATGGTAAATGGCGAGGAATTAAAACCTGCTAAAGTTGAAGAATTAAAGCCAAGGAAGGATACTATTGACGGTGAGGTGTTAAAGCCAGCAAATTATGCAGAATTGAAGCCTAGGAAGGATGCTTACAGCGAGGGTGCAGGGTTGAAGCCTAGGAAGGACGTCGTTTATGAGGAGGAAATAAAGCCAGAAAAAGATGTAGAGTTTAAGCCTCTGAAGGATGTTGTTGACAATGAGGAATTAAAGTCAGTAAGGGATGCTGAGTTGAAGCCAAGGAAGGATCTTCCTGTTGGTGAGGAGTTAAAGACAGAAAATGATATAGGGTTGAATCTATCCGAGGAGGTGGATGATGGTGAAAAATTACAGTTAAGAAAGGATGCAGAGTTGAAGCTGATGAGGGAAGTTGAGTCTAAAGCAAAAAAGACTGTCGAGGAGCTGAAGTTAGTTACAGACATCGAGGACATGAAGTCAAAACTAAATGAACTTGAATCAAAGCTAAATGAGGTTGGTTTGTAGTGTTCTCTCTCTTGTGAAAGTTTTTTGAAATATTTTACATAAATCATGGCACATGTACCGTTTGGCCTTTTTGTTTCTGTCCAGTTCATTGGTTAAACTAAATTTTACTCTGTTATTTGTAAAAAGGGATAGGTCTCTTGCTCTTTGGATGCTTTTGTTTCTTTTTTGTTTGGAAAATAGAAATGGTGAGTGGGGAGGGGCTGTTTCACATGCAGATGGTGAAACTCTCGTACTCGTACTGAGTATTTTATTCTTCCACATCCTGATATCTTCAGTTTTTTTAAATCAGTACAAGTGGTTTAGAATGAGACATGAGCTTGTTTGGTGCATATTCAAAATAAAAAATCTCTTTCCTTAGGATCGAAAACTCTAGGCATGTTAAGCAGCTCATGGATATTGGGGACTTTTATTTTGTTTCTTATGGTATCTGAAGTGGCTCTATTTTCTTCATAATTAGATTGGAAGTGACAACTGCGTTGAGGATCATTACATTTTCTAAGTCATTTCTCCAAGTGCACTCATTTCCTTTAACTCCATTTAAACAATAATAGTTTTATTTCTCGTATAAATATCACTTTGTGGTATTAACTTTTCTTTTGGTTGTCTTGCTGCACCTTGAAGTTGCTATAAGATGATAATCAACTTTTGAGAGCTTCTTTTTGCAGGCCGAGGTGACTATTTCAAAGCTCACAGAGGAGAGGAGATTAAGCTTTCAAGAGAGAAAAATGTTGCAGGCAGAATTAGTAAGTTCTTTATATAAATGTTCCTGATGACTGATTGTTTACTTCCACAGTCGGATTTCAGCTATAGCCTCCAGTGCTTCTTGTCTACTTTTTTGGTGATGCACTTGTTAATAACTTTGCACAATTGCCTGCATTTTTTCAGGAAGTATTAAGGAGTAAAACTGTTGTGAAGAAAGTTCAGGTGGGATTTCCTCTTCTGTTTGTTTGCATGGTGGCATTCATCAGTTTCGTGCTTGGATACCGGCTAATCCATTGAAAGAGAAATGCACACCAACTGAAGTCATTACTGGATTCATCAAAGAAAGTTTGTTGATAGTTAGAAAGGAGAATAGGTCACTATACGATTACTTTAAATGCGCATCTGTATATTCAGAAAGAATTTTTTTCATGTAAAGAACTGTGCTACTTTTATGCCTAGAAGTAATTTACCTTGTTAATGGTAATTTTCTTATGCCACTCAACTTCATGGATTTATTTAAATTAATACCAAGGAGATGATTGCTTTATTTATTTATTTTTTATTGTTGTTAATATTAGTCCGTTTGGCACACGCTTCTCTCACTATCCTATCTTAACAACTCAAAATGCATTTGTTTTAATATTTTTTAAAAATTCAATCATATTTTATTCAACTTAAAACATTAATAATTAACTTTCTTAATAAAAATTTTAAAATTAATAAAAACACCCCCTCTAATCTGAGTCATTATCACCCGCCATAAGGCCATCACTGCTCGTCGACATTGTAATAATGCACTACTAGTTGGATCTGGTTGATTGTGTATTGATCTGTTCGTTTTTTACTAGACCCACCATAGATTTGGTCAGAAACAACCAGATCTATGACCAAACGATGACTAGATACTGACCAAATCTAGCTAGTCAAGCGTCATTCTAACAAATTCTAGTCACCTTCCGACGATAGTGGTCGACTGTCAGCAATATATGGATAGGTATGAGTGTTTTTATCAATTTATAAACTTTTATTGTTAGGGGTGTTTAGTTAAATTAACAAACCTAAGAGATTAAAAATAATCTAAAAATTATCAAAAAATGCTATTCAGAAATATACAAAAAAACTTCTCAGAATCCTATCATATTTTCTAAAAATGCTGTTTAACATAGAAAGCTATTCTAAATAACTAACCAAATGGAGCCGTTATTATTTTGTTTGAGGAGACCTCACGGATGGCTTTTCCTGAAAATTTGTCTCGTTTCAACTTTTAGAGCAAACAACAACAACGTGTTCACACCTAAAGATTAGCAAAATAAGTTTCTATCCTTGGTTTCATTTGTTATAGATTTTCACTTTTAAAATAACAACGCTTTGACACAAATGGAAAATGTGTTATTACCATATTGTTCTTGACAAATAAATTAATAAATTAATTTTAACTAAATGAGTAGAATTAGAAAAATACCACGTTACTTTCAAATTTATTTCAATAACTCTTTTCTTCGAGCTTCACATCATCCCCATCTCCAACCACCCAGCCACTATCACTGCCACCACCACCTAGCCATTATCGCCACCGCCACTGTCATCACTATTACCATCTAGCCAAATTAATAAAATTCTAAGAAAATCTTATACATTTCAAATTCCTTCACCAACACCCTCTTCAATCCAAACACACCCAACTCTCTAAATTTTCTTTTAATTCAAACCCACACAAGATCACCCATTAGTCGCAGAAACGTTGGGTGCTTGCGCATGTTAGGTTGCACGCAGATAGAGGCGCTCGTGTGTAGGGCGCACACACATGGGGGGAAGGCGAGCGACTAGGTGGGGGGGCGCTCCGTCAAACATTTGGCAAGCATTGGGAGCTGGGGGCTGTGGAAATGAGATAAGAATGGCGGAAAACCAGAAAAATCTCCAAAAAAAACCCAATCAAACACTTTACTAACAACACACAAGCAAACTCAAAAACTCTCGCAAATCACCAAAATCAATCGTCAATCCGACACCACAAACAACAAACCAACTTCTTCGACCAAATGGCGCCAACGATCATGGGGGTTGGGAAAGACGAAGGGTGATAGGTGGTGAGGGTCGGGTGTGTGATAAAGCTGGCGGTAAGATGGGCGCACTGCTATAGCGAGATGTGCGACGCGACTGGAAAATGCAGTGAGTAACCACCGCCCGATGGGGGTTTTGTTAAGGAGATGCCAAGGGTGTTGATGGTGGGGGCAGATGGAGTTTTTGGCACCAGGAACAATGAGAATCTAGCCAAGAAGCAAGAGGCCGCGAGAACACAAACCTAGTGGCGGCTGACGATTGGCTTGGGCAGTGAGGTGGGGAATATAGGGGTTTTGGTGTGGAGAGGATGAGGTAGCTGATGGTGGTGGCGACAGGTTTAACAGCGCCAAAATTAGGCCGATTGGCCTAAAAGCGA